CCTTGCAGGGAGGCAGCTGGAGGTTGGGCAGGTCTGGGGCCAGAACTTGTGGAGCCTGGACCAGGCTCTGGACTTGGTCCCCAGTCCACAAGAAACTCCCTGCCAGGCTGTAGGCACCACACACGCCTGCACCCCTCCAGAGCCGGGCGCTGGCAGCCAGGACACGTTGACATGGGAAGGAGGGATACTGTCTTCAGGATGGGGATTGCGTCAGCCCCCAGGGAGCCACAGCTGTTAGCCCTGCAGGGCCTCCACCAGCATGCACTCCCCTCGGCCCCTGGACCCATTGCCCGCATGGTGCAGCTGTGACGAAAAGCCCGGAGCCATCTGCCTTGGCCTTTGCAGTCATGCCAGGGCCCGGTCTCCCTCAAGGCTGGTTCTGCTTTGTGCTGCTGCCCTGATCTGTCCCATACACCCCAGGCCCCTGCCCATGGCCCATGGCCTTCATCTGGGGCCCCAGTGAGGGGCTGCAGCCAGCATCCTCCAAGCAAATCCTTCACATTGCCAAGAGTGACAGAGAAGTCTCAGGAGGGGCTGCCCATGAGAAAAAGGGTCCAGGGCACTGGGGAGAGGGGGAACCACAGGTGGGTCCAGTTGGGGGGGTCGCTGAGATGGGTGGGCACCATCTGGATGGGTGAACACCAGAGGAGGGCCTCGCGCTATCTGGATATAAAGGTTGACTCAGGACAGGTGAGACCAGGTGTGGGCAGGAGCATCCCAGCAGCTCCAGAAGCCACACCTGAGACCCTGCGGCCTGCAGTGAGCTCACAGGCAGCAGGTTACAAGGTAGCATTAGTCAGCAAATAGGAGGGAAAAATACCCCAGGGATGGAGGGGCACAAAGAGGGGCAGAGACAGAGGGAGAGACAGGGAGAGGGAGAGACAGAGACAGGGAGAGACAGAGGGAGAGACAGGGAGAGGTGGGGAAAGAGCTCGATTCTTTACAAATCACTGAGGAAAAGCACACCTGCCCTGTAGTCCCCATCTGTACGGACGGAGTCATGCTCCTAACTTTGAGCTGGTAAGTTATGAGCTTGTTTCTAAAAATGTAGACACGTAACAGCATTTTACACACTTTAGGGGAATTCACCAGCACCCAGTGCCATCGGGGGACCTGCTGCGCCCCCTCAGCCCCAGGTGAGCGGGTGCACTGGTGTGTTCGTCTCCCATAAACTCACTGTGCTGAAAGCAGCAGTTTATAATGCAAAGATTTGAGGTCTGGAGCCTGAGACACACGGGCCTGAGATCAAGGTGCCCAGGGCCTGGGCCCTTCGGAGGCTCCAGACCTCAAATCTGCTTCTTGCCTTTTCTTTTCTTTTTTTTTTAGTGCATTATGACACCTTATTAATTTATTAAAGGTTGCTTCTTGCCTTTTCAACTCCCGGAGGCCAGACCCTTGCTGGCCTGTGACTCCATCCCTTCCCTTCCTCCACCTGCACAGCAGTCTCCTGGCCACCTCAGTCCCCACCCCCACCCCCTCTTCCTCCTGCTTCATTTCTCAGGCCTGTGGATCCAGGCCACCAGTGACACATTCACAGGGGCCAGGATGAAAACATCTCTGAGGCCACTCACCATAGACACAGGACAGTATCCGATGACATAAATGGGCCCCATACGTGGATACGTGGCACACTGGGCAGGAATCACAGAAGCTCGGCTGTCAATAGGAGACCCTGTTCCCCGGTCATGGGGCCGAGCAGTTTTCTCGGTGCTGACAGGAGGCAGGAATCCAGAGAGAACCCTGCTGACTTTGTAAGTGGCCGGGTGCTGGGTCCCTTTCCTTACCCCTCCCACGTCTCCCCAGCCTCCAAGTCACATCTGCTCCTCCCAGAAACCAGCCCCGAGCTCAGACCACAGGGCTCACATTGCACCTCACCTCACCTCTCACCCACCCACACCCCCCCCTCACACCAAGATAAGTCACATCTGGGGGGCCAGCCTCCCCAAGGGTCCCAGTGCTGGAGCCGGCACAGCCCCAGAGAGCCTGACTCAAGGCCCCAATTCTCCCCCAGCAAAGAAAACAGGGTGCCCCAGGCTGAACGGACACCCGTTGGGGGGGCCAGCCTGGCCTGAGCATCCGGTGGGGCCCTTGCCTGGGGGCCAGCTTGCTACCAGAAGCCAGGACAGGAACACCCACATGAGGTCTTGAGGTTCCCCTGGGTCCCAGTTGGCTACACAGGTATGTGCAGACCCTAGCCAGACCCCACGTGAGCACATACACCCACAGCTGTGGCCCACAGGAAACAAGACCCAGGGTTTGAGGAGATGCTCCCAGCTGGAGGCCACAGGGTTAGCCTGACTCTTCAGGTGTCAGGCCAGGGTGAGGGGTGTCGGGAGGAGAGATGGGTGCCCCTGAGCATCAGGGTTCAGCGTCCCAAGTCCTTGGGGCATCCAGACCCCAACAGAAGTCAAGGCCAGGGTCCCTCCCCACATTTCCATGGGGAGGAGGGGCAGAAGAGTGGACAGGAAGAGCGCGCCCAGGATTCACTTCCCCCAGCACAGGAGGGAGGTCACAGGCTGCAGGGAGCTCAGAAAGTGTGTTTCCTGATTGTGATGTCACTGGACAGGCCCAAACCAGGGTTCTTCCCACCGGCATGTGTTAGAAGAGGGTCCCAGTGACACTGAGTCAGGAAAACAAGGACATCCCTTAGAACTTGCCAGGGAGAGGGTTTGGAGGATTGTGTCTGGGGCCTGCAGTGGGTGGGGAAATGAAGAGGTGAAATCAGGGAAGTCTCATTTCTGGAAATGAAGGAGGAGGGAGCAGGGAAACTGGTTCTGGGAGGCCTGGGCTTGTGCTTCCAGCAGGAGGTAGAGGAGGGAGGGGCAGTGGGGGCTGTTGGACAGGACAGGTGGGATCTGGAGCACATGGTGAGGGGGCTCCCACATGACTCCCCCGCAACCTCTTTATGGAGCCACAGAAGGGTCCACTCCAAAGTGACCGGACCTTTATCCACAAGGCAGAGCATGGATCAGAGGACCCTATGGAGACCTCCAGGGCCTCACCTGGTCCCTCAGGGCTGCACAGCATGGGGGCTTCCCCCAGGACCAACGCGGAAAGCTGGCATACATAGTGGTCTCGGATGCCCACATGAGGCTCTGGGCAGTAAGAGGGCACCGGCATAGGGGCTCTGTGCTCCTTCAGAAATGGGGACCTTCCAGGCCTGCCCCATGCCCAGCAGCCCTGACGGCGCGGGGATATTGTGCTGGGCACTAAGCTCAGAGGCTATGGAGGGCGAGGCTCCTGTGTCCAGGCCGCCATCAGCAGGGCTGGCCCTCACCGACCCCCTGCAGACCATCTCCCACGGAGAGAGTGCTGCTGGGCACCTGACGTCGCTCACAGGTCAGGCCCATGGGTCCCATCCTCCCTGCACTGATGTCAGGAGGAACGCCACCCCTGAAACCGAAACCCGCCATTCTGGTTCTGCAGCCTCGGCTGCCCTGCAGGCCTCCTGTCAGTCAGTGGGGCTGAGCCAGCACAGAGAATCCAGCACAGCCCAGGAGCAGGTCAGCTGTCCCCGCTGCTGCTGTCACACATCCTCCGGTCAAAACCCGCCAGCTATTGGCTACAGGGGGACCTGTTCCTGTCACCAACCAGCAGCTTCAGGCCAGTGCCCTGCTTCCTGTGGTGCAGGTGCTAAGCACCTGCTTCTTGTTGTGACCTGCAGGAGTTCACTGACCTGTGCCAGCACACACCTGGGCCAGGGCACCTGTCAGGACACGCCTGAGCCAGGGCCCACCTGTCTGTATACATGTGAGCTGGTGCACACCCATGTTGGCTCACAGACCTGTGCCAGCACACACCTGGGCCAGGGCCCACCTGTCAGGACACACCTGCGCCAGGGCCCACCTGTCTGTATACATGTGAGCCGGTGCACATATGTGTCAGCTCACACCTGTGTCAGAGCACACCTGGCCTGGCACACTGCATCTGCCTATGGCCACACAGTGCCTGTCTTCAGTGCAGCCAGCATGATGCTCACTGATCACTGTGGGCCTCTCCTGGGTTGTCTTTTGGTCTCATAGCTGCTGAGACATCACCTGATTCATAGCTGAGGACGTTGGCCCAGGCCTGATTATTTGACTCCAGTGACCCTGTACTGGGGTACACAGTGTCCCCCAAAATTCACATCTATCCAGAAACTGTGAATGTAAACTTATTTGGAAATGGGTTTTTACAGATGTAATTACACTGAGGTGACTGGGCCCCCATCTAGTGACCGGTGTCCTAAGAGAAGGTCAACGTAGACACAGGACACAGAGGGGAGGAGACCCGTGACAACAGAGGGGAGGTTGGGACACCACTGCACAGGACTGTGCAGCCACTATAAACCGGGAGACACAGGTAGGCTCCGTCCCTAGAGCCTGGAGGGAGCGCCAGCTGCTCTGGCCTCAGAGAATGTGGGGTTGAAGCCCCCGTTGTGGTCACCTGTTATGGCAGCTACAGGATACTCTCATCCTTGAGGATATGGGGTCACTGATCCCAGCCCTGTCCAGCCCCTGGGTGTCCAGAGGCTTGCTGTGGGCTGGGGCATTTGGGGGAAGTTGGGGTCAAAGAGCAGGATCTGGGTTAACAAGAAGGAGGAGGGGGCATCTGGCTGAGACCAGCACATCCCTGGAGTGTAGGGGTAACAGGGCCCTGGGGCTCCCAGGGGAAGCCCTGTCAGTGCCCAGCTCAGCACCCGGGCACCAGCCTGGCCACTGCCGTGCCATCGCCATCAAGTGGGGGCACTGATTCCCTGGAGGGAGGCCGCTGCAGCCCCAGATGAGCTGGGCTGGCAAACCATGTCCTTCAAAAAGCAAAAACCAAATGAAAACAATGACAAGTATTTGGCTCCACAGGTCTCCGTGGTAAGACACACTGTGAACACAGGCAAGCTTTGCACAAGCCTGGTGCTGGGGTTCGCCTGGGCCACGGCCGCCCAAACACCAGCCAAAGGCAATGAAGTCAGGTGTCTCTGAAAAACCACTTGCAACGGCGCACAAAGGCACGCGAGTGTTTCCTATGGGCATTTCTTTTTTTAAAAAAAATATAATAACTTAGTTTGCATTTTACAGCATTTCCAACCAATTGGTTGGGGTCTCCTTGGCTGGAACCTCGTGCATCGGACTCCACACATGGTCGCCAGGCGCCCACCCCAATAATTCGGTCACCCCGCAGCCACCCCGCTATCACTCCACAGCCATCTCACAGGGGTTCAGCCCCCGCGCCTCTGCGTCCTGGTACATCCGCTGGAAGTCCTCTAGGCGTGGGGCGCAGCCGAGCCGGGCCTCCCCAAAGTGCATGTGTCCCGTGAAGAGGAACTCGCCACGCCCGGGCCGGACGCCGCAGGCCAGCAACGTGGAGATGCGGCCCCGCCAGCCGCCCCCGGGCGCCGCACGGAACACCCTGCTCTTCTGCCGGTAGATGCGGCTCACGTGCAGGTGGATGGCCGACTCCTGCCGCTCAGGGGCGTGGGTGACGTCCTGGATGGCTCCTCGGACCACTGCGGAGGGGAGGACACGGGTCAGGGAGATGGGTGGGGCCAGGCCAGTGAGGTGGGCAAGGATGCCCATTGAGCAAACAGCGCGCTGCCATTCAGTGTGAGCAGGCCCTGGGATAGAAGCCGGTCCTGACCTCTGCATCCCAGAAATTCTCCTTAAAGAGACAACTCCTGCCCTTGCCGCTTTGGCTCAGTGGATAGAGCGTTGGCCCGTGGACCAAGGGGTCCCGGGTTCGATTCTGGTCAAGGACACATGCCCGGGTTGAAGAGTCCTCCCCACCCAGGCCCTGGTTGGGGCACATGCAGGAGGCAACTAATCGATGTGTTTCTCTCACACTGATGTTTCTCTCTGTCTTTCCCTCTCTCTTCCACTCTCTCTAAAAATCCATGGCAAATATCCTCGGGTGAGGATTTTAAAAAAAGAAAGGACAGCTCCTGGGCGTGAGGCTGCCTGGGGTGGTCCCCGCACTCGGCTCTGTCAGAGGGAGGAGGCCCAGCCACTCATGTGGGAGTACATGGAAGAACTAAGCCACTTGGTGCGTCAGATGTTCCTGTCGGGACAAGAACAGTAACGAGAGCTAACACACAAGATCTGCATCAAGACCGGAGATGGGTGATGCTCAGGGGCGGAGGGTGAGGGAGGACAGGGCAGAGAGAGGGCTCATTACAAAGGGTCCGCCCTGTGGGCCCAGCAAGAAGCTTACAGTTCCACTGGAACTTGCCCTCAGGTGGCTGGGCTCGGGGCTCAGGGCACCTAGTGTGCCAGCTGCCATCCTCTGCCAGAACTGAGTCCCTGACCTCGGCCATGGATCCTACCAGACCTGGAGCTCCCACTATGGCCCCTGCAGGGGCCTGGTGGAGGGTGAGGCTCTGAGGTGAGGCTTCCAGAGCGATGACGTCACATGCAAAGTGGGACACTGCCCCCTGATCACCTGAAATAACAGGAATTCCCAGCCCTCTCCCTGCCCTGCGCTAGGTCCCTTCCCTGGGGCTGGAGTCACGGGGATGCAGCCCTGTGACCCACAGATGAGGGGCACCAAGCCCAGGGTCCTCACAGCCTCCTCCCTGCAGAGGTTGGTGCCAGTGCTGGAAGGTTCTCTGGGACCAGGTGGGGCGCCCTCCCCGCGGCGGGAACCAGGGCACTCACCGAAGTCACTGGTGCAGACTGCCAGGAGCACCTCGGTGTCACTGCAGGGCCGGCAGGGAGCTGCAGGAGAGGGCAGGGAGGGGGAGCATCAGGAGGGCGTGGACGTGCATGGATACACACCTGCCCCATGGTGGGGCCCCTCCACACCCCAAAGGGGCTCTGATTTCCGGCAGCGCCACTATGACCCCAGGCGCCAGAATCACACCGTGGTCTCAGCGTGCGGGCAGGGGGCTGACTGCAGGGCCCCCAGGCCCACCGCCCAGTGCAGGACTGGCCTGTCCCCACTCAGTGGTCAGAGCAGCTACTGGGCTCGGTGAAATCCTTCCATGCCCAACACCAATGCAGACCAGCCTGCACTGAGCAAAGCCTGTCCTTCCGCTGGCCCGAGGCAGTGCTACCATCACTCCGCCTCCGCAGCCACACCTTGAAACGCCAGGGCCGACCACTCACACGCTGCCTGCTCCCCAGCCCTCCTCCTGCCTCCGTTCCACAGGGGGCGGAGACTGCCTGGGAGGCCGCAGCCTACCAGGTGTACCGGTTAATAACGCGGATGTTTTTCCATAGATGGAGTTACACATATGTTGAGATATATGCGATTTGATAGTATGCTATTTTGTTTTATTGACAACATGTTCAAAACTTCATATGTCAAATTTTCTGAAGGTGTTAACATCATATTTTTACGCTTAAAAATGTCGAATTTCGCCGAAACCGGTTTGGCTCAGTGGATAGAGCGTTGGCCTGCGGACTGAAGGGTCCCGGGTTCGGTTCCGGTCAGGGGCATGTGCCTGGGTTGCGGGCACATCCCCGGTGGGAGATGTGCGGGAGGCGGCTGATCGATGTTTCTCTCTCATCGATGTTTCTAACTATCTCTCTCCCTTCCTCTCTGTAAAAAATCAATAAAAAATATTTAAAAAAAAAAAAATGTCGAATTTCGTGCCAAAAAAAAAAAAAAAGAGCATTTGCGGGAAGTTTTAATTCATTATTTTGAAGAAAAGTGCTGCTGAAAGTGATCGTATCCTTCGGGAAGCTTATGGTGAACACGCTCCATCTCAAGATCCCTGTGACCGCTGGTTTAAACGCTTTAAAAGTGATGATTTCGATGTGAAAGACAAAGAACGTCCAGGTCAACCGAAAAAGTTTGAAGACCAACAATTGCAAGCATTATTGGATGAAGATGCGTGTCAAACTCAAAAATAACTTGCAGAAAGATTAAACGTTGCTCAGCAAACAATTTCCAATCGTTTACAATCAATGGGAAAGATTTTAAAGGAAGGAAAATGGGTGCCACATCAATTGAACAAAAGACAAATGGAAAACCGAAAAGTCATCAGTAAAATGTTGCTTCAACGGCACGAAAGAAAGTCTTTTTTGCATCGAATTGTGACTGGCGATGAGAGTGGATTTATTTTGAGAATCCCAAATGCACAAAATCATGGGTTGATCCAGGTCAACCATCAACATCGACTGCAAGGCCAAATCACTTCGGAAAGAAGACAATGCTCTGCATTTGGTGGGATCAGGAAGGTGTGGTGTATTATGAGCTTCTAAAACCAAGTGAAACCGTTAACACTGATCGCTACCGACAACAAATAATCAATTTGAACCACGCTTTGATCGTAAAACGACCAGAATGAGCCAGAAGATGCACCATCACATACTTCAAAACCAGTACAAAGAAGTGGAAATTTGGGTCTCTGAATGGTCTGCCTCAAAACAAGAAAAGTTCTATTGGGACGGTCTCCACAAATTACCTGAAAGATGGGGGAAATGTGTAGCTAGCGATGGACGTTGCTTTGAATAAAGCACTTTCAATGTTTCTCTTGAAATTATCGTGTTTTCTTTGGATCACAAAATCTGCATTATTAAACCGGTTAATAGTTAACCCATATTATTAACCAGTTAATAGTTAATCTGCACTATTAACCAGTTAATAATTAATCCAAATATTAACGGGTTAATAGTTAATCCGAATTATTAACCAGTTAATAGTTAATCTGCATTATTAACCGTAATAATGTGGATTTTGTAATCAAAGAAAACATGATAATTTCAAGAGAAACATTGAAAGTGCTTTATTCAAAGCAACGTCCATCGCTAGCTACACATTTTCTCCATCTTTCAGGTAATTTGTGGAGACTGTCCCAACAGAACTTTTCTTGTTTTGAGGCAAGCCATTCAGAGACCCAATTTTCTACTTCTTCATACGTTTTGAAGTGCTGCTCAGAAAGTGCATGTGCCGTCGATGAGAACAAGTGGTGATCTGAAGGAGCAATACAACAGCATACATATCCAATCGCATACATATCAACATGTGTGTAACTCCATCTATCAAAAAAAATCCGCATTATTAACCGGTACACCTAGTAAAGGTGTCCTTAACGAGGCCCTAGAACCCTCCTAACTCCCCCTCCTCAGACCCCTCCTGTCCTTGGTCCCCAGTGACCCCTCTAAACACCTCCAAATGCCTTTCAGAGCAGCCCAATCACAGAATCCCTAGTTCCCTGAAACTCCTACCTGGGTGGGGCTGGCTTCCCCCAGCCAGACAGGCCTTACGAAAAGCCCTGCTCCCCCAGCCCTTCCCCCTCCTCTCAGGTGGGCACAAGGTCTCAGAAAGGTGTGGGGTTGGGGGTGGGGGAGGCGGAAACCTAGGACTCCCCAGGGACAGTGCACTCCTCTACTCGGTGGATCTGGGAAAATAACAATTTATTACTTGACTGCCACATTGCTCCTTTCAAGGCCTCTCCCTCACCCAGTTTGAGTTTCTGAGTTTTTGCACCAATTCTCCTGACTCCATAGAAACTTGAGGCCCCCCCACGACCCTTTCCTGTTCTAAAGGCCCCAGAACGTCCCTGGCCTTGGCACTCACTGGGCCTGGACGACCTAATCCTGTCTGGGTGCCTGGTTGGCTGCCCTTGCAGCCTTAGAACAGGGCTGAGCAGGGGCTGCCCGACCCCCTCCAGGAGCAGCAGTGACTCGGGGACCTGGGGGGACCAGGCAAGGCACAGACGAGCAGCAGCAGAGAGGCCTCCGGGGCCGGGATGTGCGTGGCCATGGGGCCCGGCACACAGTGTCTCTGCGGTGCCTGGGGTGGACGTGAGTGTCCAGAGAGCTGGTGCCGCCGTCCGCCTCCGGGCAGTGTGGGTGCAGCTCAGCGAGGCCTGACTCACCCCCCCTCACCGCCCGGCTCCTGTGAAGTTATCAGGAGCTGCAGAGCAAGAACAACCTGTTGAATGGGATGGAAGCCGAGTCCACCCAGCCTCCAGGCAGGCACCTCCCCGCCCAGCTCCAAACCCCAAGCCTCTGCCTGCCTGCAGCCTCGGCCTGCAGGAGTGGACCCCAGCCTCAAGGCCTATCTTAAAAAAGGGGTGGTGAGCCCTGGCGGGTGGCTCAGTTGGTTGGAGTGCCACCCCATACAGCAAAAGGTTGCGGTTCGATCCGGGTGGTGGGGGCACATACAGGAGGCAACCAATCGGTATTTCTCTCTGGCATCCATGTCTCTCTCTCTCTCTCTCTCTCTCTCTCTCTCTCTCTCTCTCTCTCTCTCCTCTCTCTCTCTCTCCCTCTCTTTCTAAAATGAATAAAAACATATCTTCAGGTGAGGATTTAAAAAAAAGAGGGTGGCCAACTGGGGACCCTTCATCCCTCTCGCCCACTGTGGACCTGCTGCCCATGGAGCCGCAAGGTGGGCATGATGACGAAGGAGCACATAGCACAGCCAGCTCTGAGGGCTCGTGTACCCCTGGTTTTATTCTGGCCTGTGAGCAAGAGGCGGGGAGCAGTGGTGACTTCCCATCCTGGCTGGCATACCCAATGCCCATGGGATCAGAGGCCCCAGCCTGGGGTCCCTCTGCTAGAGGGGGCCGGCCTCGGCAGCTCTCCCCAGAAGGCAGGTTCCCCTCAGCCACCAGGTGTGCGATGGGTGCAGCGCAGGTAGGTGGGAGGTGAGGATCTGTGCAAGCCCTCCACAGCATGTCCCAGGATCCGAGCCAGCAGAGCTAGGCCAGGGGCACCACCCCAGAGGCAGTAGTCGAGGGGGCCCAGGCTACACACTGTGATCAGACCCTAGGCCTGGGCGCTTGTGACCCAGCCTGGAGCTATGCCCTCTACAAGGATCACGGGCCCTGGGACCTCGGCTGAGGGCTGAGGGCTGAGGACAGAGGTGGACACTAGCCTCCCTGGCTCACTCCCAGCCCCACTGCAGAAGGTGTGGGGACCCGGAGGCCCTGGGGGAAGGCAGTCAGCAGCCCTGAGAAGCCCCAATGAGCCGATACCATCGACGGCTGAGCTAATAAAGCATCACCCTGGAGACTTCCCTCCTACAACTCTGAGCTTCACAAAGCAGAGGTCACCTTTGTGGAAACCCAGTCTGTGGACGCCAAGAGAAGCAATCTGGAAACAATTATTAATCGGAGTCGGGCTCATAAAGGCTGTGGAATGCACTGGTCTCAGGCACATCCAATCTCCTTTCCTTACGGGGAGCCGGGGAGGGGTGGCCAGCAGGCTGGTTGGAATGCTGGCCCGTGTCTCATGGAGAGGGGAGGGCTGGGGTGTGGACGTCCCAGGAAGGTTACTCTGGAATGTACATAAAATGAACTGAACGAAGGAGAAAATAACAGGGTCAGGGAGACAGGTCAGGGCCATGCAGGGGCCCAGGTAAGAACACGGGGACTCAGATGAGGATGCAGTCACCTAGGTGAAGGTGAGGACACAGGGACCCAGGTGAGGACGCAGGCGCAGGAGGGAGGGAGTGGGCGGGTGCCTTCTGTCAGAAACTTGCCGCCCTGAGGGGCTTGCAGATGGTCAGATGGACCCAGGTCCGAACTGCCCGCGTAAGGACAACCTGGTGGACAAACACAATTTCCAGAGAGAAAACCGTGCGTGAGGGCACCCAGCGGGTCAGCTGGGGACAGGCGGGCAGTAGATGCTGAGCTGTAACAGGGAGTGAGGAGAAGGGAGACACCAGAATGCAGTGAACGCAGCTGGATCCTGGTCCGTATTCACGGAGACCAAGCAGGTGCTGAGCTGCCGGCAAAGGCTCTGGAGCCGCCTCCAACGATCAACCTCCTCCACCTCTGAGGTCGCACAACCCCAGGCCCCAGGAGACCCCGCCAGGGTCCCAGCTGGCCGCCAGCACCTCCTCCTGTCCTGCTCCCTCCCGACCTCTTCCTCGCCAGGAAGGCCACACCCTTCCACCCCAAATGGGCAAGGCGAAAAATTACACAATAATTACAGAGGCCAGAGAAGCCGCCGAGGCAGGAAATAAACGATCCTTGCAAAAATACAAAGTTTTCTCCTTTCCTGTTTCCCGGCAACACTGAAGTTTCTCCACGCTCCTTCTGAACTTTGCTACTCACCCCCACGGCCATCAGGGCCACCCCCAAACGCCGAGGTGCCAGAGAGGGCCCCTCAGCAGGGGGCTGTGCACCCCTGGGACCACCCTGGGGCTCATCTGCCCCCAGCTCATCAAACAGAGCGGGTTTTAAAGGGGACAGGAGATGAGGCCCATCAGGCCTGTGGGACCCCATCACCTCTGGTGCCCCTGAGCCTGTGATGGCGCGATTTCCATGTGTTCACAGTCAGCACGAGGGCCGTGGGCTTCTGCCCACCCTCCAGCCGTGGATCTGAAATTCCGCTGTCTCCCCCTTGTCTGCTCCCGGAGGTGGGGATGCTGTAGGTGGACGTTCCAGGAGCCCAGAGCGTGGACGTGTCCAAGTGGTGAGCCCGCTACTCGCCCCCTCAGCAGTAAAAAAACAGACTGGAATCCGGGGCCCCCCTGGGCTGCCCCACACGAACCGGGGACACAAGGTCTGTCTTGGTTCCCCAGTGCCTGACGCAGTGACCCCCCTCCCTCCCTGGCTGGTCACCCCCACACACCCACCAGCCCACTGGGTGATGGCGAGTCCTGGAGTGCCTGTTTCCTTGAGTGTTGGAACACCGGGAAGGACAGTCCCCCCAGCAGCCAGGCCAGGTTCTACCCCGAGACCCCAACCGATGTTCCAGGCATGGCCCGGAGCTGCATCTGGCTGCTCCCTGCCTTTCACGTCCTGCCAGATGGGGTCACTGCCATGGAAGGGGCGTCCATGTTACTCAGGTGCCCTGGCGAGGCCCACAGAGGCGGTGAGGGTTGGGGGGTGCACAGGGAGCCTGTGGCAACCAAATCCCACTCCCCCTGGGCTGGGTCTCCTCCCACTGCCCGCCGTCTGCACCTGTCCAGGGACTGCCTGCCTCTCCTTTCTTGGCTAGTGGTTCATCGAGAAAGCTGACTACGCAACCCCAGTGGCCAGGGGGCCAACACGTGCTGTAAACACTCCCAGCCAACCAGTCAGAGGTGCGGTGGGCAACAGCTCACACCTCCTGCCAGGACTCAGCCAGGAGCCTCTCCCTCAGAAGTCAGCACAACTGTCACTCACGCGGCTCATCAGCGGGAGAAGGCGGGTGCTCACTCCCAGGTACATCCATGGTCTCCGGGGTCACCAAGGCCTTGGGTAGCCAGGGCCAGAGCAGGACGGAGCCGGCAGCCATGCTCTCTTCCGAGAGCCCGCCTGGCTCAGGGACGTCACGGCCGCCAGATGGCCAGTGCCGACATTCCACATTTCACACCCAGCATTAAAGGCTTAGGGGCTGTGCCCCGATGAAAGATGAAAGGCGAACACCCCGGGCAGAAGAGATGCCCCGATCCCCCAGCTCCCAGAGCCCTGGGACTCCCAGAGTCTCCGTTCCATGCCTGACCCTTGCTGCCACTTGGGGGCACGTCACTCTCCACTTGGGGGCGTCCTCTCACTGTGGGGCGTTAACAGTGCATGGGCCTGGCCCCCACCTGACCATCAGCCCAGCTGGCCACCAAGAAAACAGCTCCCAGGACAACACACACACATGCATACATGTACACACACAGGCACACACGTGCACACACCCGAAAGGCATCTTGCTCCTGGAATTGACACAGATATCTGGCAGCCCCACCCTAAACATCACCCAACACATTGGGACACTGTCGTCCTCTGTGCCTCAGAGGGAGAGGGGGGCCTGGCCCCCAGGGTGGGACCTGCCCGGTATGAGCATCTCGGGGTCTTGGGCTCCTCTTCCATCTCCATCCACGAAACTTTCCAAGGCCAACCCTGCCTCCACCCAGCACCTGGCAGAGCTGTCTGCTTTCCTCCGGAGAAAAGGGGATGGAAATCTAAAGGCAGCTCACCACCTTCCCACGTGAACACACACACCCTTGGCCACCGAGAGGCCCCTCCAGACCCGCCCCGGCTCCCAGATCCTCCCAGCCCCTTCAAAAGGGCCAGCAGCAGGGGCTCCTGCCTGCCGGGTGCCCACTGCAGCCCCACTATGGCACGTTACTGGAATCTCCAGAGACACACCCCCACAAAATTCCTCCAGACCCTGGGACTGGCCCAGGGTTCAGGATGTCACTGTTTTCCACCTGGGATGTGGATCAGCCTCAATTCCCACCCAAAACCTGACGTTCCAGGGGCTGCACCCAAGGCCAGAAACGCTCGACCAGCTTGTGTCAGAGGAAATGCTGCGGCCATTGTTTGAATGGTAACAGCACCCACTTCCAATGAGTCACGACGAGTCCGTGGAAGAAGAGCACATGACGGGTGAGGGCCCATCACAGCCCTGACCTGCGGCCCTTCTTGGGATGCTGGTTACCCTCCGCAAACACACCCCTAGGAGATGAAGGTCTTGCGGAGTCCAAACAAGAACTTTCCAGAACGCAGGCAGTACACCTACATCCAACACCCACGACACTGCACAGGTACCCCCCCAGGAGGGCCCGTCCGCTAGCACCACAATGCCTCTGGCCTCCCCCAGGTCTGAGGTACACCCTGGGGAACTCCCACAGAGGCTGTGCCGAGGGGGCCGGGAGAAAGTCAGAGAAGTCTGGCAAATGAGAAGGACCTGGGCTGAGGAGGGGGGCAGCCGGGAGCCCACCCACCAACCCCGGCATCACCCACCTGACAGAGCGTGCAGATCCAAGCCGGTGGGCCGGCTGCTCAGCTCGTACTGGAAGCCCGTGGTCCTCCGGCGGATGTCCTGCTGGGGCGTCGCCTCCACGAACAGGCTGCCCTGCTGGAAGCCGAAGCAGCGCACCTGGCCAGGCCCATGGTCCCCGTCCCGGAACAGCAGGTTCAGCGCTCCAGTTTTCTCCAAATAAATATTGGCCCCAGAGGCGTCCCCAAGGGGCTTGATGCACAGAGTCAGGGGGCGGGAGGGCGAGACAACGTTGGGCCGCAGGTTGACGCTGAGAGCGCCTGTCGGGTACATCCACTCCACGGTGCCCGCCGAGCAGCGCAGGTACACCTGCTCCACCTCTTTCCTGTGGGCCTCGTGGGTCAGCCCGCTGTGGAGAGGGGACAGTGTCAGCCTGGGCACCACCCCGCTCTCCTGCACCACCTCCCGCTCCAGCACTGGCTGCTCCAGGCGAGGGGCAGCCAGCGCCCTCAGGCCCTCCCTACAAAGGACACTCCGTATTGCTGGCCTGCTGGGCTGTAGCTGCAGGGCCCCAGTGCAGGTGAGAACCAGGGAAAGGATGGATCTTCCAAAACACAATCAAGGGAACACCAGGAGGCCCTAGCTGGCTTTAGCTGGCTTGACTCAGTGGATAGAGTGTTGGCGTGTGGACTAAAGGGTCAGGGCACATGCCCAGGTGGAGGGCTTGATCCCCTGGGGGGTGGGGGGAACGGGCGTGCAGGAGGCCAATCCATGATTCTATCTGATCATTGATGTTTCTCTCTCTCTCTCTCTCTCTCTCTCTCTCTCTCTCTCTCTCTCTCTCTCTCCTTTCCTCTCTGAAATCAATAAAAAAATATTTTTAAAAAAGGAAACACCAGGACAACTCTGGCACCAGCCCAAGTTCCCACTGAGCATGAAGGACAGGAGGCGACAGGAGGTGCCCAGGACACACACACACAAGTAACTCACTCCAGGGAGCAGCTTATGAATCGGTGAGGAATGTTAGCCATTTGGGGGTCGTTGCTCAGGTTTTTTAGCGCCTCACTGGCAGGCATACTTTTGATATTTTCCTTATGATGATGATTTGACTGCTTTTTCATTCACTTGAAAACCTGAAGACCCTCCATTGATCATCATATTTTAAAAAATAAACTCAAATGGCATCAAAGATATGAAAGTAAGGTAAGGTCCTCTCCAGGGGACAGACTTGGGAAGAAAAGTGTGGAGAAGCCAAAGGGTAGCAGACACCTCGTCTTCCCAAGGGGAATTTCCAGAGAACCACGTTGAATTCCCTCCTGAGGAATCTGAGTAGAAAAGAATGAAGCTGCTGTGCTCTCCCTGAGACGGTAAAGTCATTACATTATGTTTCAAGAAACTGAAACCATCAACGTTACCGTTTCTCTCCCCTCCTCCAAACTCAAATGTCAGTGTCAGCTTGTGCACACACCTACGTCACAACCACCAAGCAGCCTGGGACTCCACCAGTGACTTGGCTAAGTGTTCTATTCCATGAAATTGGGTTCTGATCAGCTCTCAGACAGGTTCACCCACATTCTTGGGATTTTTACGTGGCATAAACAAAGCTCCACTCAGAGCCCTGGCCCCAGTGCGTTACCAGAAACCCTTTCTGCCGAGCAGAAAACACAGAACATATGGTTTGCATTTACTGTGGTGACTCATGCTCCCGGCTCCCAAAACCCTCACTTTCCACAGGACGGGCCCGCGGCGCGCAGTCACTCTGCAGGCCACATCACAGGGAGGTGCCGGGAGGTGACCCTCCTAACCCCACACGCCCGGGGTCAGGAGCCGCCAGCCCAGCCTCAGACGCCTACCAGGGCTGCACACACGGAACCGACTAACAAATTACAGTCACATAAAACGCACACAAGCCCATCTGACACACAGGTGGGGGTGGGCGTAATTATATGCTGTGTGAAAAATTAGACTAAATGGTAAATGGTTGCCACGGATCATTATAATCAGCTCTGCTCTTACCCAGCCAAAACAAACTTTACTAGAGTGCCCCTCCTCTCCGGGCTTCGGCCGCAAGGGGCAGTTGAACCCTTGCCCCGAGCCCAGGCGCCCATTCTCAATCCTCTCTCCCACAAAAACCACTCTGCCTAAGGCTTTCCTTCTCTGTCAGTGGGGCAAAGGGGGCCCTGGGGGTCGAGGGAGTGAAGAACCCATACCAGAGGCTTTGGATCCCTCACTAAGGCACCTTAATCGGAACCGTGGAGGGGGAAGGAGCGAGGGCCACCCTCCACCCACACCTCAAGCAGGGGCAGGGAAACCCTCGTGGGGTGGCCCACAGGGAGGTGGACCTGAGTCTGGGGGCTGCCACCCCCAGCCTGCATATAGGACTGTGCACATCTTATGGGGTGCACCTGGCCCTGGTTATGCATAAGTCGCTCAACTAAAAGAGAAGTAGGAACAAAATGAAGGAGTACATAAAGAAATGAGCCCCACCCCCAGTTACTTCCCCCGTAAACCAACGTCCTCACTGGCCCACAGCGGAGGGTCTGCGCCACCACAGGCTCTCTGGGCTCTGCCCAGCTCCCTAAAGCACCCAGAGCTCCAGGAATCCACTAGGCACTCCACACAGAGCTCACACCATGTCAGTCCCATGTGGCATGCAAGACCCCATTTGGACAAACACCTCCGCAGTCCACTAGTCTCTCAGCCCAGGAACCGCTGGCTCTTTTTTTTATTTTTTATTTCAGAGAGAAAGGGAGAGAGGGAGAGAGGGAGAGAGGGAGAGAGGGAGAGAGAGAGAGAGAGAGAGAGAGAGAGAGAGGAGAGAGAAACATCAATGATGAGAGAGACTCATGGATTGGCTGCCTCCTGCACGCCCCACATTGGGGATGGAGCCCGAAACCTGGGCCTGTGTCCTGACCGGGAATCGAACCGTGACCTCCTGTTTCATAGGTTGACACTCAAACACTGAGCTGAGCCCGGCCAGCCTGCTGGCTCTTCGAATAAGGACAAGACTCCTGGCCTGTCTGGTTCCTACCAGGAAATAGAGCCACACTGCCCACCTCTAAGCTTCCAGCGCTGCAGCAAACCTGAAAAAAACCTCTATTTATGCAAAAACACACCAGTGCCTGAATGTTCCCTGATGATGCTTTGTTGCAATATTCACATGGCATGCAAGTGACATCTATCCAGCCCCCCACCCCCCAAAAGCAACTGTTTTCTGATGTGATAAAGCTCTACTCAGCCTTAGGGAAGGAGAAGACTGGTTTCACCTTGGAGTACTTAAACCAAATTAATGCTTTTTGCCTTAAAAAAAAAGAGAGAGAGCTGGTAAGTGTCACAGCCCCACACCTGGGGAGCACCTTTGTGGAAAAGACAGCAGGTTCCGAGTGGATGCGGGAATTTTCCGATGGGGTCAGTGGTGTGGTGGTAGCAGAGCCCACACCCCTCTCCCCCCAGTGGGGCGGGCGCAGACCCTGAGTCACCAGGAGGAAACGATGGCCTCTTGTTTACAAAAAAAGAAAGAGTTTCAGGCCAAGCCCAAGGCAGGAGAGACAGACAGCCCAGGTGTGACGTAGGTAAGTGCTCTGCCCCGGGCAGTGGTCCACCTTTAGGACCAGGGCCCTGTCCTGTCCAAGAGCATGGGCGATGGACTTCAAAACCACCCACTTAGCTCAGTTGGTTAGAGTGTTGTCCAGATACACCAAGGCTGTGGGTTCAATCCCCGGTCCGGGCACATAAGAATCGAGCAATGAGTGCGTCAATAATTAGACTAACAAATTCATGTTCCTCTCTCTCTCTCAAAATCAATTTAAACAAAAAACAAACCCACACCTACTTAACTGCTTAGAAACACCCAGAAACACATGTCAGCCTGTCAGCTGTGAGAGGCCCCTGTCTATCAGGGGTCAGAATCCACCTCATATGGGGGGGGTGAAGCGGGGGGGAGGCTGTCTTTAAAGCCACAGGCAAACAGCACCCCGGCTCCCAGCAAGTAGCATATGATCACTGGGGGTGCAATCACAGCTCACCGGGGCTTATGGCTAGGAATGCCGCCTGGCAGGCTGCCCCCCACATCCCCCCAATGGCTCTGGGGCCTGGTGGGGGAGGATGCATTAGCAATGAAGGAGGGAGAGGCTCAGGGAAGTGTCCCAGCTTCTCCCGGTGATAAAAAGTGAAGGGACTCCTCTTCCCTCTGCAAACACCTCCAGGAGCTGGTTGGCCCCCGACACCCCCCCCCTCCCCCATCACAGCCACCTCAGGGCTCAGCCCTCCAGGTACAGTCCTCCCAGAACCTGGAGAGGGTGTTTGCTCCTCCTTCGGAAACTCAGGCTCACCAGGTGGGATGGGTTACTGCTTTGGATCTGTGGAAGCAGGAACCACAAAGCCTCCATTTGGGGGTGCCCTGATTCATTCCGCAGAGGCTACGAAACAGGGAGTTAAATTCCTAGCAGAGGCAGGGGCAGGGGCAGGGGCAGCCCCAGCGGAGGGGTCGGCGTCAGAGGGTCCCCACCAGCTCTCGGCCGGCGCCAGCGATCTCCAGGCCAACCCTCCTCGGAGCCGACCTGCCCACCACCGGGTCCAGGCCCGGCTCCTCTATCCCTGCTCCAATGTGAGGGGCGCGGGGGTCGGGGCAACCTCGGGGCTCGGACCTCCGGTCTCGGAAGGGTCATTGCCGGGTCATCGCCAGCGTCCACGGAGAACCGGTCTGCAAGCGCCGCGCCGACCAGCGGCTGCCTTGACGCAGAGCCCAGGGCGCGGGCACAGCCCCACCTTCTCGGAAAACCGTCTTCACCCAAAACCATCCCGTGACGTCCCCGCCCCCCGCCCCCAGGAGGCGTCTGAGCGGGGCTGGCCTGGGGGCCCTGCGCCGGGAACCATGACACCGGGCCCAGGCGGCCCAGCCCGCGGCGTCTTCGGAGGAGACGCGCGTCCCCCGAGCAAACTCCCGAATCGGCAACTTCCGCGGCGCAGGACTGGCCTCGCCACCCGCGAGCTGCCAGCGCGGCCAGGGCGCCGGGGGCGGCGGTTTCTCCTCCGAGTGCCTGCGCCTCCGGCACCCGCCCGCGCGCACCGGCGGCCCGCACTCCTCGCTGCGGGTCACACTGCAGCTTTCTTACAAGAGCCCTCGGCCGCCGCCGCGGAGGGGAGCGAAGGGGGGGTCGCCAGCCCGGCGCGCGCGCTGCCAAGGGCGGCCTGACCTTCACGGGGCGAGGGCGGGGGGCCTGGTCAGGTCCGCACTCGGACCCGCGCACAGGTCTCCGTCCGCACGGACGCGGTCAGCGCTGCGGGCACTGCCACAGCCCCGCTCGGTCCACTCGGGCCGCCGCCCCCTCACGCGGACCCGCCGTTCCTTGCCGCTCGGCCCCGAGCGCAAGCGCGGCTCCTCCAGGCCGGGGGGCCGATCCCGCCCGCGGGCCGGCGGCTGAGGCTGTGGGGAACCCGAGTGGAGACCGGCGCGACCGGGCGCGGGGCGAGCAGGCTGCCGGCCCGGCCGGACCCGAGCGCAGCCAGCGCGCCTCCCGGGGCGTCCTCGGGACCCGGGGACCCGGGCGCCGCGGGCTCTTTTGTTCTACGGCCGGGGCAGAGGGCGGACAGCGTTCCGCCTGGAGAGGGGACCCCCGAGCCCCCGCACTCTCTGGGAAGGGGAGTGAGGAGAGGGACGCGGACCCACGAGTGGGGTCGCCCCGCGAGGACTCACCTCCCCTTCCAGCTGCACAGGTCACTCGAGTACTGCGCGCCCGCGCCGCCCAGGAGCACGGCGAGCAGCAGGGCCAGCGGCAGGGGCAGCGGCAGGGGCAGCGGTGGCGGGGACGGGGGCCCTGGCCACGGCCGCCCCGCGCGCCCCCCGGCCTCCCGCGCCGCGCCCCGCATGCTCTGGATCCCGCGCGCGCCCGCCCAGCAAACCCTCCACTCGCGCGGCCGGGCTCCGAGTCCCGGCGGGTCACGTCGTGCGCCTCCCGCGCCCCTGGCGTGGCCGCCCGCCCATCGCGGCCGCTGGAGCGGCCGGAGCCTCTGGAACTGCGCAGAGCCCTACGCCAACCGCCGCCGCCTGAGCTCTGAAGCCGGCGAGTCAGCAGCCGTAGTCCCGGCTCAGCTGGGGGGTGGTGCCCGCCCGGCCGCCCCGCCGCCCCGCCCCGCCCCGCCCCGCCCCGCCCCGCCCCGCCGGCCGCCGGAACCCCGCCCCCAGCCGCTGGGAGCTGCGCGCCCAGAGTCCCGCACCTGGTCCCCGGGCGAATCCGGGATGCGGGATGCGGGATGCGGGATGCGGATGCGGGGTGCGGCGTGCGGCGATGGCACCCACGTCGGAGGCACGTGGTCCCGCGAGTGGGACAGCGTGGGCGCCACGGCGAGGGGAGGCGCGCGGGGCGGAAGACGGTCATGGAGAGAAAGCCAAGCTGGAAAGCAGAGTCCCCGAGAGAAGAGGACGGCGCGGCGCGTCTCTGGCCTTGTGATGCGGGGCGGGGTACAACCCGAGACCCCAAGTTTGGGCGGGGCAGAGGGCATTCCGCAGAGGCTACGAAACAGGGAGTTAAATTCCTAGCCTCGGCCCCGTCACGCACACTGAGCTCACTGCGCTCCGAATGGCGCTGGGTTGGGGGGACTGCCTGAGCCCATCAGGGTTGTTCCTGGCACCCATCCCCCTCCGCAGGATTTGAGTGTAGTTTGTGGAGGTTCTTGGGCACGTGGGGGAGGAAGGCCCCACTGGGGCGGACTCGCGTGGACTCGAGCACCCGCTCCACGGAGTCTGGGTTTGCTGACCACAGGCCCCGCTCCTGTGCATCCCTGTGGGCACTAGTCCTGTTCGTCCCCCTCTCGAGTACCTGCTTCACCAAATTCCCACGTGACTCTCGGGGTGTGGGGTGCGTCCTCTGCATTATAGGGTTTTACAGCAATCCTGGCCCCGAAAGTCCAGATCCGCGATTTTCAACCTTTTTCATCTCATGGTACATAAACTAGTTGCTAAAATTCTGTGGCACACCAAAAATATATTTTTGCCATTCTGACAAAAAAATAGGTATAATTTTGATTCATTTACATCAGATGGCTACTGTGTTGACTTGCCATTTTTAAATTGGACACTAAGGGAAAGGCGTCAGTGCCCCTGACTAAATAGGCAGGTATTGCATGTTTTAACACTTCTTGCCTCACACTGACACCCCGCTCTAGAAGGACCCCACCGTGTGCCTGGCATCTCGTGGGGGGAGACATTGGGGCACAAGCAGCCCCAGCCCCAACAGGAAGGGGTGATGCCAGAAAGCTGGGCCAGTCGGGGAAGAAGGAGGAGGAGGAGGGTCTGCCAGGCAGAGGCAGGCAGCCTGGCCGCCACGCAGCCACTCCCATCATCACAAAAGCCAGCTTTTCTGCTTCCTCGGACTCTGGTGTGGACCTGGGCTCCAGAGCCTCTAACAGCATCAAATGAGGGAGAAACCTGGCCTTGTTTTAGCCTCCCTTTTCCAGCCAAGATGCAGTTCAGGAGGAATTTCAAGTGACCCGGTGCGGGGAGGGGGGTGACGGCAAGTGTGTGTGTGTGTGAGAGAGAGAGAGAGAGAGAGAGACTTCCTGCTCCTGTGGATTAGCAAAGTGCATCCTTGTCCTGAGGTTAGAGTTGGGTTGGGTTGGAGTCGGGTTGGGTTGGAGTCGGATTGGGTTGGAGTCGGGTTGGGTTGGAGTCGGATTGGGTTGGAGTCGGGTTGGGTTAGAGTCGGGTTGGGTTAGAGTCGGGTTGGGTTGGAGTCGGGTTGGGTTGGAGTCGGGTTGGGTTGGAGTCGGGTTGGGTTGGAG